TGCATGGAGCACTGGGTGTTATGCACAAACAATGAATCATGGAACACTACATCAAAAACTAATGATGTAATGTATGGTGATTAACATAACAATAAAAATTTTAAAAAAGAAAGGAATGGCTGAAACCCAACCCAGAGACCTGGGCTCACTCCAGGCTGGAGGTTCCCTGAGGTGAAACTGTTCAGTGGCGTTTGGTGCGGCAGAGAATGGGGTGCAGAGAGAGACAGCAAACGGTCAGAGGTGTAGGACTTAGGAGGCGCCAAAGAGAAAATGTCGCCTCTCTTGGGCTATCAGCCAGCTCATTTTGAGGAACAGGATCTGGGGTTCTGGTTTAAACCCTTCCATTTGCAAGCTTTAAGAAAAAAAGGCTACTCAGTGACCACGAGACCTCCATGCCCCGCCTTCCCTCAACCCTCAACACACACGCATAATCTCAGCCTTCAATTGCTTCACAAATTCTGGGAACACCTCATACCACCTCTCCCTCACTCAACTCCACCCAACCCCACCCACCCCAGTCCCCTTAAGGCAGAGCTCCCCAGCGAGAAGCACAGCTGAGTGAGCAGAGAAAATCCTTCGAGCAAACCCAGCCTCAAGGAACAGCCACTGGCGGGTGTCGTGGCCACTCACGGACACCCAACTAGATACAAAACGAAGAATTTTGTCCCCTTCTTGTCATTCTGAAAGACTGTGAACCCTGGAGTCCTCAATCATCACACAGGAAGCTGAGGACTTCCTGATCAATCAGGACGTTGAACCTTGAATTCATAAAGATTCTAAAAGCTCCAGAAACAAAGACTTCGTGGACAAAATCCCTAGAGACCAGAGTAAGTGGCACTTGTCTTTTCTGTCTTGTTGGTTACTGTGAGGGCAAGCTGGTTTGCAGACATGCATGCAGCCAGGTGGGACTGTGGTCCTCATGTTGCAGGACATTCTTTACCTGTCTGTCTCCTCAAAGGTGAGGAATTCTTCAAGGCCCAAGCAAACACCTAAGTAGCCCATCGATGCATCTGTAAGGTAATTAATTGTATAGCAATACTGACAAGGGGTGAATTTATAAGACTGGGTGCTCAGATGTAAAATGGGTTTTTTTGCTAAAGAGGGGAAGCTTTCCTGAATGGTTGTTGGTGACTGGTTGAGAAAATCAGCCTTTCTAAAGTCAGTTAAGAAACAAGAGGATCTCTGTGAAAAACCATTCAAGAGGAAATCACTTGCTAAACTGCCCTGTGTAAACAAAAACCAAACATGGTGTATGAAGAAATTATAGCAAAAGGGAAATATTAATTAGAAAAAACGTTGCAGACGCCAGGATGATTTGATACTGGACCAATTTCTTGAGAAGACTAGAACCAAAGAGCCTCACAATCAGGCCTGATGATTTGTCTTTGGAGGAGGTAGGATTTTACCCTCCCGAAGGCAGGGAGATGTCCTCTTGGGATACAACCATTCTGTTCTACTAACAAAGAGGCAGGTCAGAATTTGCTCTGAAGAGAGAGGGGCATGGGGGCTACTTGGAGGTCTCTATTTCAACTGTTCCTCCATAAACTCTGGAGTGGCCCAGATTTTCAGAGTTAGAAACTCTCAGAAGTTTGCATAGCTTGTCACCAGGCTGTGTTATCACTTTCTCACCCTTGAGTCCCCACTCTGACTAGCAGGACAGCTCTAGGCTATGCAGACTGTGGGGAGTGAAGGGCCAATAAATGTTTAACAACTGGCTCTCTTGAAAAAAAAAAAAAAGAGCCCTGATTTCTCATGTTTGTAGATTTCTATGGTGTAAATATCCGCACTATGGTTGATTTCAGCCTACCTACCCACTGAATGCAGAGTTGGGGAGAGATGCACAGGATTGGTCTCTATGAACCAGGATGAACCAGCCCCTGTACACCACCAGGCTTGGGTGTCTTATCACTGCAGACTGCTTTTTCTGCTCAAAGACTTCACCAACTCCCAGGCTAGAGGACGCTGCCACTGCAAGGTTCTGGGGGGCGCCAGGGCTCCAGCTGACCTCTGCCCTTGGGGCAGACTTTGCAGCAGATTTCAGCGGGGCTAGGGGGCAACAGGGTCCTTCTGTCTCCCTCCATGGCCCCACACCAGGCCATCTCTCTCCCAGAGTTGTTAGGTGGTGCCTGGCAAGTTGGCAAAATAGTCAGTGGAGTTGGAGGTGGACGGGGGGAGGGGGCTGGTGAAGGCGATTCTCTGTTCAAATGGCACGAGCAATGCTGACTCAGTTTGCCTTCACCTTTGCCAAAATTCCCCAGAAACCGGGCTCCTGGGCTCAGTCATGCACCAGTTGCTCTTTGTGCTTCCAAGCTGCTTGGAGCTTCTGCTATAAACCTGCCAGCCCATCCAAAAATGCTGTCTGCCAAGCCGACCCGTCCACACCGGCAGCGTCAGCGGAAATCAGAAATTGTCCACACAGTTTGGTTAAGTAACTGCCAGCCTGGGTTCCTCCAGAAGGAGGGCTGGGGGGCTAGAGGCAAGTCCAGAGCTGGAGGAGTCAGCCATAGGGATGGATTTGACTGGAAATGACAGTCCCCCAGCCAGGGTGTATGACATTGCCCCCTCCCCCACCCCGGGTGCCTTACTTTCCAATGGCCACTGCAGAAATGTGAATTTTGTAGGAAGGAAACATTCATTAAGCAATTTAGAAGGAAGAGTGCTAGAGACTCCAGATTCAGGGTGGGAATTATGATGTAGGTACCAGCTACTTTTCCAACTGGTGGCAACCTACTGAAAATTTCAAAGTGCAGTTTGCATGGAAGGGACTGTCCCGGTCCACCACTGTTGAGCAGAATTCGTTTTCCAGATTAACTATAGAAAGAACTGGTGGGGGGGACTTGGGGGAGCAGGTACATCAGCCAGAATAGGATCAGAGCCAGGGACTGGCCTCAGAGAAGGGTCAGTGCAGGGAAGGAGGAACCCCATTATTTACTGAGGCCCCAGCAGGTACTAGGGGGTGGTTTTTCTCATACATTACGTAGCCCTGCAAGGTGTTACTTTCTCACATTACAGATGAGGAACTGAGGCTCAGAGAGGTAGGTTAACTCATCCATAGTCCCACAGCTGGTAGATGGCACGAAAGCCCATGCTCCCTTCGGGGAGGTGTCTGTAGTAAGTGGAAAGGATTGAAAAGGAGTGCTGAAAATGGGGGGCTGGGGAGGTCCTATGAAGGCAAGCTCTCTAGTGGTTGTTTTTTGTTTTTCTTTGTTTCAAGGGAACCCTGGTTAAAAATATCTAAGAGCATTTCTCAGCAGAACTCCAGCTACTGCCTGGTTGCTTCACGATACCTCATGGCTCGAGGCTGTCCCGAGCTCTTCCCCTTCCCCCCCATCCCTTCTTCTTCCCATCAGGTCACCCCCCTCCTCCCAGACTGTACTGTCCTCTGAATCCTCCTCATGGCCCTCACGGGAGGCCTACTGAGTGACCTGTAGATCCACGTGTATGGCATGAGCCAAGCTGACCCACTCTGGTGCCCTCAGGGTCCTCATCTACTAAGGGATGGGGCTAGCCTTCTAGAATTTCACTATGACAGCACCATGGGTCTTTGGGGTAAGATAATTTTTGCATTGCAGGACATCCTCGGCCCTGCCTACTGAATGACCCGACAGTTGCATCCCCTAGTCTCTATGGCAACCAAAAAATAAAATAAAATAACCCTACACATTTACATGTGCCCCCACCATGCTCCGTCATCCCTGGCCATGAACCTTTTTAGCCCCCCTAGCCCTGAAGATCCATTTGTAAGTTTTGGACTCTCAGCTTCCTTCTGGAGACCCCACAGTGCAAAATCGTTGCTCCATTATTGGCGGCAGGGATGCACGTGAAAAGAAACTCCAGCTCTCATTCTCAAAGATATGCGTCCTTACCATTTCGAACTCCCGCATCATCACCTCTAAATTGGGGAACAGCAGTGGCACCCCCTCTGTGGCGGGGGGTGGCGGGGGAGTTGTCTAGCACTAAGTCCAATGCGAAGACCGTGGGCAGGACTGGTTCGGAGCAGTGTGGCGAGGTCTCCCTCCGTCTGTGCCAAAGTAATTGACTTAATGATCAGTGGGCTCATATGCTTACTGCCTACGCCCTCTGTTAGACTACAGGGCCCATGAGGGCAGAGAGGACCCAGATCTCCCTTGCTCAAGGTTGCGTCCCAGGGCCTGGTACACAGTCGGTACTCGGCAGACAGTTGTCAGGTGGTTGAGGACCTATAATCACTGCCTCATCTTTGTTGTCCGCAGCCCACTGCCTTTCCCGGCAAAGTACACAGAAACCATCTTCCTTGACTCATGCAAGAAACCAGGATGGCAACCTCAGCCCCCACAAAAGACTATGACATGACAACAGAATATGACTATGAGGGCATAACCCCATGCCAGAAGGGAGAGGTGAGGGCCTTTGGAGCTCAGCTGCTGCCCCCCTTGTACTCCCTGGTGTTCATCACTGGCCTGGTGGGCAACATCCTGGTCCTCCTGGTCCTCATGCAGTACAAGAGGCTCAAGAGCATGACCAGCATCTACCTCCTCAATCTGGCCATTTCAGACCTGCTCTTCCTCTTCACGCTGCCCTTCTGGATTGACTACAAGCTAAAGGATGACTGGATTTTCAGTGATGGCACCTGTAAGTTGCTCTCGGGGCTTTATTACACAGGCTTGTATAGCGAGATCTTTTTCATCATCCTGCTGACCTTCGACAGGTACCTGGCCATCGTCCATGCTGTGTTTGCCCTGCGGGTTCGGACTGTCATCTTTGGGATCATCACCAGCATTGGCGCCTGGGGCCTGGCCATCTTGGCCTCCATCCCAGGCTTCTACTTTTCCAAGATCCAGCAGGAGTTCTCCCATAGCACCTGCAGCCTCCACTTCCCTCACGGAAGCCTCAAAGCCTGGAAACAGTTCCAGGCTCTGAAACTGAACATGTTGGGGCTGGTTCTGCCTCTGTTGGTCATGATCATCTGCTACACAGAGATCATACAGATTCTGCTCAAACGACCCAACGAGAAGAAAGCCAAAGCCGTCCGTCTGATCTTTGTCATCATGATCGTCTTCTTTCTCTTCTGGACCCCTTACAACCTGGCAGTGCTGGTCTCTGCTTTCCAAGACAGCCTCTTCACCGATGAGTGCAGACAGAGCAAACAGCTGGACCTGGCCATGCAGGTGACGGAGGTGATCGCTTACACGCACTGCTGCGTCAACCCCATCATCTACGCCTTCGTCGGGGAGAGGTTCCGCAGGTACCTGAGCCAGCTGTTCAGCCGGCTGCTGAACAGGCTCCCCTTCCTTTCCACCGACAGGCTCGAGAGGGCTAGCTCCGTGTCCCCCTCCACGGCGGAGCATGAACTCTCCGCTGGGTTCTGACTCGGGCCCCTGGAGGCCGGTCCAGGACCCAGCAAGGGCGACCTGCCCGGCACGTTGACCCAAGCCGAGGCACGTTGGGACACCTGGCGCAGCACGGAATTGCAGACGCGTGGGGGTGAGGAAGTTTAATGGCAGTCTAGACTAAATCACTTCCGGGGCGATTGAGTCCTCTCCAAGAACTCCTCCGTGGTAGAAAGGAGGTGAAGGAGTGGAATGGGACATTCCAGAAGACCGGGATGGAGGGTGCCAGGGAAGTGCTTGGGCCCAAAGGGGAGTTCAGACTTGTGAGCATTACCATTTGTAAATAGAGCCACCGAGCATCCCGAGCCCTAGTGGGAAATAGGATTGGGGAACTGCCCTCGGCAGTGGAATGGAGAAAGCCCTTGGGGAGAATTTTTATATTTGCAAAAATCAAAACAATTCAGGTGGTGGGCTAGACACAGATTGGGCGAATAATACGTTTGATTTCTTGAAATAGCCACAGAGGGGAGGGAGTCTTTATTTCCATTTACCAGTTTCTTCCTTCTGAGTATTTTCCAGAGTCTCCCTTCCTTGTAAGTTGGATGAGGCGGGAGTACATTCTGATGGCTTTATTGCAGAAATTAATATCAGGCAAAAGGAGACAGGGTCCATGTCCCTGTTCTGCTTCCCCACCGAAGCCTTCTGGTTTTAAGGATCAGAGTTCTGGCTGTTGTGTTGGACCCATCCGCAGGAAAAATGACCTGGTGTGCAAGCTGACAGTGTCTGAGGCTGAGAGGGAGGGGGGCTGAGGTGGGGACTCACCCACCTTAATGTGGAAGGTTGAGAGGACCCTTAATTAAAAGAAACATATTTCCCCTAAATGTCCTTAACACTTGATCTCTCACCAGGGACCTCCTGGTCATCACGTCTTTCTTCCCTTTTCCCTAGGATGTGTATTTCTTTAAAAATCATTTTCCCAATGACAAAAACACAGCTTAAAAACTCAAAGGGAAAAAGAGAACACCCAAAGCACCCAATTCTCACTACCCAAAGACGACGACTGTGTGCTCTTCTATGTATTCTCTTTTAGTTTGGTGTTTGTTTTCTCCTGTGTGTATTTACAACGATGACAAATACGGACTTCGACTGTACTCTTGTTGTTTTTGTTTTTGAGTAGCAGTATGTTGGGGTCTGTTTCCCAGGTGAATAAATCATGTTAAAGCACTGTTTCTGAAGGCTGCACTGAATTACACCCTCATTTATTCTACCCATTTCCCCATTATTGCTTGCACAAATCAATTCAATCTAGCAGTGACCAGTGTCGACTTCTCTGAGTTCTCTGAGCCCTGGGAGGCACGCAAGCATAGGGACGCATGGAGACCCCGGGCGGGATGGATGGAGCTGCATTGGAGCCCATGGCCCTGGGCAGCAAAGGGGAGGAAGGACCCCATCAGTCACAAAGTACCCTTAGTGAGTGGGTGTCCCATCTTACACATAGTGACATCATTGGGCTGACTGTTCTCTTTTTGGACCCTAGAATTGTGCTTTTATCCAGCCACCCTCCCCTTCAGTCAGGGACCTACTATGTGTGCACGCTTTCTTTGTGTAAAGAGGCTGGTATCATGAAGGTTTGGACAGTTTTTGTCTGGGGAAGGAGGCGGTCACACTGCCCTGGGCTTACGTTTCCACACAGAACATGGCGACAAATCCAGACTTTGGGAGTCAAGGGGGAAGTCAGCTTTCCACTCGAAAACCTGCCAGTTCGTCTCTGCAGTGTGGCGAGAAGGCATAACGGAATTAAGAAACATTTGTCTACCACTTTGGTCAAATAAGACTGCATCAAGAAACACTTTGATCCCCAAAAATATCCTAATGAGAAAGATTGTCATTATAATGTCCTCCAGGTCCATTTTTGAAATAATGCTTATGTTTTAACTTGTCACAAAGGCAATAATGTTCAGTGTAAAAAAAAAAACACAAAAAACTGAAAACAGATAAAAAGGCCAAAGGAGAAACTGGAAACATTTGTAGTCACTAGCCACTACCCTCATGCAGCTTCTCTTAGCACACTAATGTTGCTGTGCATCTCCTTCCTGTGTGCATTACACACACACATCTGCAATCACATTTAACATTTTTTGTGTAGCCATGGTAAAACTGGACTGCAGTAAGCACTTAGTAAATGCTGGTTGAATGGATGAATCTCTGAGCCCCCAAGTTCTTTATAAAGTGAGGATAAGACAAGTATCTACCCCTGTGGGGCAGATTTAACCTGAGGATTAAATGAAGCAAAGCAAGGAAAGTGGGTTATTAAGTTTTTATTTTAATTCCAGTCAGTTAACATACAGTGTAATATTAGTTTCAGGTGTACGATAGAGTGATTCCACACCTTCATACAGCACCCAGTGCTCATCCCAACAAGCGCCCTCCGTCATCCCCCATCACTTATTTCATCCATCCCCCACCCATCCTCCCCAGCAGTGTGTTCTCCATAGTTAAGTCTGTTTCTTGGGTGATCTTGCTCCAAGTCTATCAGATAAGAGATCTGATGCCCCCTGACAATGCCTCTCCTCAGTTACTCCAGCCCTTCCTCAGTTATACCTCCAGCCCTTCCTGAGCTGCCTTCCTGCCTCCAGCTCCGCTCCTTGCTCCTGTGTATGCGAGCCATGCAACGCCTCCTTGTTATTGCTGGTTCTAGCATTTCATCCTTCAGAAAGGTTGCCAGAAGAGTGCAAAGAACTTCCATATCTCATCCAGATTCCCCAGCTGTCAGCATCTTACCACATTTGCTCTAATTCATCATTCTCTCTCTCCCTCCCTTTCTGTCTCAAAAGATAGACAGGCAGACAGATAGTTATAAATGTACTATTTTTCTCCAGGACCACTTGAGAGCAGGGTGCAAATATGATGTCTCATCAGCCTTTTGTAGTTCAGAATGATTTTACTAGCAACAAGGATGCTCTCCCACATAATCCAAGCAGAAACTAACTGACACAATATCACCAGGTTATCTGTAGCCTTCTTTCCAATTTAGCCCACTTTGCAAATAATGTCCTTCATAGTCCCAAGACTTAGAATCGTTTACTTAGTTGTGATGCCTTCCTTCAATCAGGAACACTTCTTCAGACTTTTCTTGTGCTTCCTGACCTCAACATCTTGAATGCCACGGTTACCTGGCAGATGGTTCCTTGTTGTGGGTTTTCTGATGTTTCCTGATGATTAGGGTCAGGTTATGCAACTAGAGCAGGAATCTCACAGAAGTGATGCTGTGTTGTTCTCAGTGCATCATGTGGGGAGGCATTTGGTGCCAACCTGTCCCATCACAAACGATGTTAAACTTTATCGCTTGCTTTAGAAAGTCTCCACCAGGTTTCTCCACTGTAAAGTATATTGTACTTATGAATTTATAAGTGCCCATTATTAGTGGGCATTTCACTGTATAATAAAAGCATCTTTTCTCCTTCACTTATGTATTTATTCATTTATTTATTTATATCATCATGACCTCATAGATTCCCTTTTTACTTAATGGGATAGAATCTGATATTATCTTTACTGCTTTGATGCACAAATTGTCCCAGATTTATCTAGTGGGAGCCCTTCAAGCTGGATCCTATGTCCTTTTGCTGTTCTTTCTACCAGTTTTTGAGTCCTCTCTTACTTTTTGGCACATAAGGTACTAGGTTCTGCACAGCACAAGAAAGCATCAACAAAATGAAAAGGCCACCTATGGAGTGGGAGAAAATATTTGTAAACCACATATCCGTAAGGGGTTAATATCCAACATATACAAGGAACTCATACAACTCAAAAGTAAAAAACCAAATAACCCAATTTAAAAATAAGCAAAGAACCTGAATAGACATTTTTCCAAAAAAGACATACAAATAGCCAACAGATACATGAAAAGGTGCTCAACATCACTCAGGGAACATCATCATCAGGGAAATGCAAGTCAAAACCACAGTAAAATATCACCTCACACCCATTAGAATGTCTATTATCAAAAAGACAAGAGATAACAAGTGTTGGTGAGGATGTGGGAAAAAGGGAACCCTGTGTACTATTGGTGGGAATGTCAACTGGTAGAGCCACTATAAAAAACAGTATGAAGGTTCCTCGAGAAATTAAAAATAGAGCTACCATATGATCCAGCAATTCCACTTCTGGATATATATCCAAAGGAAACAAAATCCTTATCTCAAAGAGACATCTGTATTCCCCTGTTCCCTGCAGCATCATTCACAATAGCCAAGGCATGGAAACAACAGAAGTCTCCATCAACAGATGAGTAAAGAAAATGGAATGACCCAAAGCAGAAGTCCCATTCTAATGGTTTTTTTCCCCCAGTTTTATTGAGAAATAATTGATATATAATCACTGTATATGTTTAAGGCACACAGCATGATGGTTTGATTTATGTATATTGTGAGATGATGACCACAATAGGTTCAGCCAACATCTACCCTCTCATACAGATACAATTTAAAAAAAAGAAGAAGAAAAGAGGGAAAAATTTTATCCTTGTGATGAGAACTCTTAGGATCTACTCTCTTAACACCTTTCCTGTATATTCTACAGTAGTGTTATCTGTGGTCATTATGTCATACATCACATCCCTAGGATTCATTAATCCTTTAACTGCAAGTTTGTACTTTTTGACCCCCTTCCTCCGATTCCCTCTTCTCCACCCTCTGCCTCTGGTGACCACAAGTCTCATCTCTTTTTCCATCAATTTGTTGTTGCTGCTGTTTTTAGATACCACATATAGGTGAGATCATACAGTATCTATCTTTCTCTGTCTGACTTATTTCACTTATTGTGATGCCTTCAAGGTCTATCCTTGTTGTCACACATGGTAGGATTTCCTTGTTTTTAATGGCTGAAATATATATATATCACAATTCTTGATCCATTCATCCACTGATGGACACTTAGGTTGTTTCCATGCCTTGGCCATTATAAATAATGCTGCTATGACCATGGAGGTGTGGATATCTTTTTGAGCTAGTGTTTTCATTTCCTTTGGATATATTCCGAGAAGTGGAATTGCTGGATCATATGACAGTTCTATTTTAATTTTTTGAGGAAATTCCATATTGTTTTCCATAGTGGCTGTTCCCATTTACAATCCCAACAGTACACAAATGTTGTCTTCTCTCCACATCCACACTAGCATTTGTTATCTCTTGTCATTTTGATGATGGTTTTTAAAACAGGTGTGAGGTGATATCCCATTGTTATTTTAATTTGCATCTCCCTGATGACTAGTAATGTTGAACATCTTTTCATACACCTGTTGGCCTCACATACATATCTATTCAAGTACTTTGCCCATTTTTTAATTGGGTTGTTTTTGTTTTTGTCTTGTTTTGTTTTGTTTGTGATTGAGTTCCATGAGTTCTTTATAGATTTTGGATATTAATCCCTTATCAGACATATGGTTTGCAAATATTTTTTTCCATTCTGTAGCTTGTCTTTTCACTTTGTTGATGGGTTCTTTTGCTGTGCAGAATCTTTTTAGTTTGCTGTGGACCCACTGTTTATTTTTTATTTTGTTGCTTATGCCTAGGTATCATATTAAAAAAAATCATTACCAAGACCCATGTCAAAAAGCTTTATTCCAGTGTTTTCTGTTCCATGGTTCAGGTCTTATATTTAAGTCTTTAATCCATTTTGAGTTAATTTTTGTGAGTGGTGTAAGATAGAGATTCTGTTTCATCCTTTTATGTGTAATATCCAATAAGTTCTGGTACGTTGTTTTCATTTTTGTCTCAGGAAACTTTTGTATTTCTCCCTTTAATTTCTTCCTTGATCCATCGGATGTTCAGGACAGTGCTATTTAATTTCCATATGTTTGTGAATTTTGCAGTTTTCCTCTTGTTGCTGATTTCTAGTTCCATGCCATTGTGGTCAGATAAAATATTTGGTATGATTTCAATCTTCTCTCATTTGCTAAGACTTGTTTGTGTCCTAACATATGGTCTGTCCTGGAAAATGTTTCATATACACTTGTATTCTGTTGTTGCTGGATGGAATGTCCTGTATATGTCTGTTAGGTCCATTTGGTCTACAGTGTTGTTCAAGTCTGCTGTTTCCTTATTGATTCTGTCTGGATGATCTACCCATTGTTCAGAGTAGGGCAACAAAATCCCCAACTATTACTGTATTCCTGTTTATTTCTCCTTTTAGCTCTGTTAATGTTTGCTTTACATAATTAGGTGTTCTGATGTTG